GTTTATTTAGTAGTTTGTTTTCGTCTGGGAAGGTAATTATATATATTTATTTCCTTCAAGCAGATTTGGTGTTGTAGGCTGATATTGTTTTCCTTATTTTCCCTGATATTTTTGGTGTGGTTTGGTTTTTGTTTTTACACACACACAAAAATAAATAAATAAAAAATACTCAGCAACCCTCCGTTTATGTAAATAATAAGTGTATTTATTCCGTTTTTTGTCCTCTTGGCTTTTTGGAGTTTATTCCGGGTGGAAAGCTTTCACCACAGCTGCTTGCAGATTGTTCATAAACAAAGACCTGACATTGGCCGGAATGCTTATCCTGAAAAAAGGTTCCATCTCTCCCTCATCACTGCACCCATTTTAACAACCTGCGAGAGAAAATATTTAGAAATTCTAAGTGGGTGGGTAGGTCGTTTTCTGAGTAGTAGCGAAGATTTCGTATTCTCCGATAACTTCTGAGCTGCTGTAAACAACGCAATCAGTAAAAAATGGTACAATTGGTAAACCAGATAACGCTAAAATAAACAAGCGTGCCGTAAAGAAGATTAGTAAGCAAAGAACATCAGCTAAATCTGGCATGAGCTTACTTTGACTAAGCACAACTTAGTTTAGTGCAAGTAAGTACCGTGAAAATCGTTGTCAACTGACAACCTATTGAATCACGTGAAATCAATACAGCCGTCCCCGAAAGACTTACTCCTCGGTTTAACACAATCTCTCTCTCTCTCTCTCTCTCTCTATATATATATATATATATATATATATATATATATATATATATATCCCTCTCTCTCTCTATCTCTCTCTGCTTTATATTAACGATCTACCCAGGGTCGTTCTCAGATCGTTATTAAATATCTGTGTGGATGATACCACATGAATGTCCCTCCAAAAGTCTACATGACCAAAGCTCAGCACCCGATCTTCTGGCCTAGTTCTAACAGCCGAATGGCAGAATGGAGATTTTCAATACATATGTTGAGATAAGTTCACATACGAGGTCTGTCTAAGAAGTAACTGCTGTCACAAACAATTTATTTCAATTCGAAAAAACAAACTACATGGCTCCCCCTTCAAAGTAATCCCCCTCTCGAGTCTAATACACTTTTCTATCCTTCTCTGCCACGCTTCTATACACGGCTAGAAGGAATTTTCTTCGTTTCCTCTCATCTCCGTCGTTACGAACCTTTTGATAGCCTCCACGACTTCAAAATGGGTCCACTTGATGATCCCGTTGAGCTTAGAGAAAAAAAAAATGTCACACGGAGCAAGATCGGGTGAATATGGAGGTTGTTCCAGTCTGATGATGATGTTCTCGGCCAGGAATTGCTGGTTGGTCAGGGTGTTGTGAGCAGGTGTTTTGTCATGGTGAAACAGCTACAATTTGTCTTGCGATAAATGCATGTGAAAAATTGCATTGGGTACAAAAAGCTAAGATTACAGTTATATACACCGAAGATATCATGGTAGATGATAACAAAATCCGCTTATCTATCTGTCGCCCCATACCTCACACGGCATACCCAGTCCCGTTACTTTTCAGAGAGACCTCGTGTAAAATTGACTGTATAATAGCTGGCTTCTTATACCGCTCAAGAAAGTACCTGACTCCACATGCCATGCTCTATCTTTATAAGATTCACATCAAACCATAAATGTTGTACTGCTTATTCTGAGCTTGAGCAGCCACGTCCTCTCTTTCCAAGCATGACAGATTTTAAAAGCGTCTGGGCGTCCTTGTAGGTCATTAATTATTTTCCAACCAACAACCCCACCACCACGTCGCAAGCTTCTTGCTACCCTATTACAGTGTAACCCGGATATAAGAAACCCGGATATAAGAGAGATTTCCTCTGGCCCCAAATTAGAGCCCATATTTAACTAAACAAAATAGACCATACCCGGATATAAGAGAAACCCGGATATAAGAGACTTCTTCTCCGGTCCCGACAACTCTCTTATATCCGGGTTACGCTGTACTATCAATGAAAAATGTTCTGACGAGCTGCATTCCTTAGTTCCGTTAATTCAGACCAATACAAAAAAAAATTCACAATACATTTGGGGGGAAAAATATTACTAAAGCCCACAATCAGTCAGTTATGTGCCATGCGTGATACACACTAAGGCGAGCATGTATCTTTCGATACATAACTGACTAGGCAGATTTTTTTCCGCAGTGGGTTGTCATTTCTTTCTGCGGTAGACCAGTTGCTATCCAAGGCTATAGAACCCGGTCTGTCCTGCTATTTACCCATAGCTGGGGTGAGAAGAAGAGAATTCATACCTTTCCTAAGGGCATTAGCACGTAAGTGAATGTAATGAATTCAACTGGAACTCGAACTCGGCTCTCCGATTCTTCAATCCGAGGCTGCTATCCATTATATCACCGTCAAGAGAATAAAATTTCAACATTAAATGACCCATAAGGCGTTTATATGCCGTTAAAAAAACGAACCAAACAAACCAATACCGACCACTGAAGATAGTAGAAAATATGATGCCATTATCTCAGCCACGAGGTAATCGATATCTATGATGATGTCACAGCTATTTATTTGTCTCGATAGTAAGTCTGATCAGTTCGATTGGCAGCTGATCTAAAAAAAAATGACCTAGTCTGTTGTTAACTGAGGCAAGGAATGGATTGTCAATTTTAACGCCTCCAAAGCAAAATTTCTTTCTATGAATCATCTGAAAGTCGCATTTCTGCATCACATTCGTATGGCTGATACTAACCTCCATAAGAGTAACTCGTTGTGCATTCTCAGGCTAACATTCTTGACTGACATAAAATAGAAAGATTATATTAAATCCATTGCTAGGTCTGCTGCTAAAAAAATAGGTTCACTGTGTCCTGCTAGACAATTTTTCTCTCCAGAATCTATCTTACATATTTATAAATCTACCATTCGTCCATGCATTAAATATTGCTGCCACATATGGTCCGGTGTTCCTGCTATATATTTAGAGATTCTTGATAAAACCGAAAGAATCAGTAATAATATTGGGCCTGCCCTGGTGTCACTTTCCCACCTACAAAATGTAGCTTCCCTGTGCTTTTTCTATAAACATTTTCATTGTAATTGTTCGGATGAACTCTTCGTTATAGCACGTAGACTTTATAAATTTAAGCACAGTACTAGATTGGCGGTAAGGTCCCACCAATTCACAGTTGAATTAGCGAGATGTAACCGTAAGTTCTATGGTAGCATATTCTTTTCTTGTACTTCTCGTTTGTGGAACACTCTTCCGGTTTCTTGCTTTAAAAATATAAATGCATTGTCGATCGTTATCTACTGTCTTCATTATTCTTCTGTTGGCCAAGCTCCTTAATAATGTTTCTTTGTTTTTCCTTATTATTTCACACTCAGTAGCCCCTTGTGTCTTAGTGGCTTTACTGCCTTTCTTTGAGTGATATGATTTGGAAAAAAAATGGCTGATCTCTGATTTATCTTGCCTCTTCAGATGTAAAACTGGCATTCACAAACCAAATCAAAATTAATATTACTGGGCGAATATTCGTAATTCAACATGGCTGAAAAAGCTTAGGCGAGGCTGTAAATTCTAAAACTCTTTGTAAGCAATAACTTTCCTAAATGTCCGACATGTTGGCTAATTGCTCCTGTTCTGTAATGTCAAACTGTTGTTTTGAAATGTCTTTGAATAAACGCCGCGATAGAAATTACGGAATGGGTACAGTGGCACAGAGTAAAAAAAAAGTGAAAGGAGGTCTTATTTTATTTATTAGAACGTATCAAAAGTATTTTCGTTTTTTGCAGACCTTCGTTCTAAATCATACCTTATATACGCTCTCTTAGGGTATCTTGGCGTGGTGTGATGGTTAGCAAACTTGTCTCGCTAAAACAGTTACAACTGAATAGTGAGTTCGATCGTCACTGGGTGCCCCATACTTTCGACCTTCTGCCACATCTAAGCTACGCTTAGAAAATCAATATATACGCTCTCTAAGATTATATTAAACAGTGGACAGCATTCTAATAAATTGACAAAGATACGAACTCCAATATACTCATCATGATACGGAAAAGTGTATACCAGATTCAGGCATCACAGCCAAATGTGCACAATATGGTGACAATTTGTTTTGTTTTCTTTTTAAGTAACTCATAACCTTGTAGGTAGGGCCCTTTTAGGAATACGTTCTGGCTCGGTAAACCAGTCCGTTCAGACCGTCTTTGATTGACGGTGTTTCTCAAGTCACCTTGGCTGTCTGATTATTCAGACTATTAGAAAAAACAACCCCTCGATACCCAGCCATGAGAGTGCTTACTGCTCCCGCTCATGAACAGATATGCGCAATGCATCAGTTCCTCGGAGACATGCTCAACTTGTTAAGGTCAGGCAACTTATTAGGAAATATTTGTTACTGGATGGCATATTTACTGTAGCTCATCTTAATTCGCCAAGATAAAATATCTATGTTCTATTACCACAGCGCAAAACCTCTATTATTTTAGTTTCCCTTTATTTGTCCCCTTTTTAATTTAGGTTCACTGTAGATTAGTCACCGTTTTCGACCATTTCCTGGGGATCAAGCTCGTGGTTCCTATTTTCTTATCCTGCTAAATCTTGCCCCCCAGTGATAGCATCGCGGGTATGTAACCTTTAAAACCTTTTCTCTCTGCATAGGCCTCCTTTAATATCGTATTATTTTTTGAAAATTTATTTAAGATAGCGAACTTTGCATACATTTAGTTTACTGCTGCATCTCTGTATGTCGAACCACTTTCACCACGTGTTGACTGTTTACATACTGTTCTCAAACTGTAATTTCAAATAACTTTCTTCCGTTCTGAGAACTTATCATTGCAAACTTTAAGAATATTCATGTAAGAAAACTATTTGCTACTCTCTTACATTTAAACCCACGGTGTTATTTCTATCTGTTGACTATGTTCACCATAGTCTATGAATATAGAATACAGGGCAGTACGTAATCTGTTCAATGAAACAACGTTAAAGATTAACACTCACGAGTCAGACACTCTACTGAATCTGACTATATCTTCAATACCACCAGCAGCTGTTCCGTAATTCTTCAGTCTTCGATATCAAAGGTTGGCAGTGAATATTCGGGAAAAAACATGTCCGCCTTTATACACGTCGCATTGAATATTTTGAGCCTTTTGATTGGTTAACCCTTCTATTGGTGAACTATAAAATGTGCCAGCTCATTTTGGCTGGCTCGCTAGTACACCAGCTTACCCTAAAACTCCAACACTATCTTCCGCCTACGGCTACCTTTTTCATATTCCTTTTTTTTTTCTTTCCTATATACGCTTTTTAATTTCTTTGTTATTCTCACTAAACTACTCTCATATTAGTAGTTATTTCTTTTTCTAGTTTTACCATTTTGGCTTTCAATAAAGTTGTCGATGAAAAGGATTTTGTCTTTAGAGTTTCAACTGCCGTGTGGCGTTTATCTGGCTGCCCGAGGTAAGCATGCGTGCGAGATGTACGCGTACACGTGAGGCAGAACAACTTATATATTAACATCTCCAACAGACTAAAATCAGAAGCCCTGTGAATAATACCTAGTGAACCATCATTTTATTATTATTTTATTTCCTTTGATTTCTGGTGTATACATATTTCTTTCCGGGTCCCAGAGACTTAAGGTCAAAAAATGGCAACATGACATTTTCCACCGAGCAATTAAAAATAAACACATATTTTACATAGATAAAGCCCTTCGTAATGTGTGGGCTGTAGTCGTGAGAAAAAAATTTGTATTTTTTTAAGGCATGGGTTACCAGGAATCCCTTCAATGAGTCTATTGGAATCTTTTCCAACCAATCCGATGGATCCAAGTAAAACAGGGATTGTTGATGTTCTCATGTTCCACATTTTTGAGATTTCCATTTCACGGTGGAGTAATGGATAGCGGCTCTGATTGAGGAATCGAAGAGCTGAGTTCGAATTCCAGCCAAATCCATTAGATTCACTTACGTGCTATTAGGAAAGGTATGAATCCTCTTCTTCTCCTCACCAACTATGGGTAAATAGCTGGGCAGACCAGGTTCTATAGCCTTGGATGGAAGCTGGTCTACCGCAGAAAGAAATGGCAACCTACTGCAGGAAAAAATCTGCCTCATCAGTCATGTATCGAAAGATACATGATCGCCTAAGGGTCTATCACGCATGGTACAACTGCTTAACTATTATTATTATTATTATTATTTCATTAATTTCTCAGGTAAGATATAAATATCTGGTAAGTAATTCCTGGATATGGGTACACAGCAAACGCCTTAGGTATAATGCATTTTTCTCTGGCTTCGGTTGTGGTCGTAAAGACGAACAGTCGTAAGTCACATAGGTCGTAAGGCGACGTCGGCATGTATTATAATTTTGTTGGTGGTGAATAAGCAGAAATTCACATTTTATGCACTAAATAATTCTATCTCGTCTCCACTTACTTTCTTAACAACGTGGCCTGGCTACCCTTTGTCTGGTCAACAAATATTTTCATGATGACTGCTCACAGGATACGTTTTTCTTAGTGCCCTGACTACATGAATATAAACGTGTTGCTGGATTGGCAGCTAACTCTCGCCGTTTTACCGCTGAACTATTTTCAATCTTCGTTCTCTTTCACTTTCACCCCCTCCACCCACTGCTTTCTAATGGTATCTTCCCTTGCTTTCAATGGAACGATTAAAAAAAAAAAAAAGAAGTCCAATGCGTGTTCGAATTTCGGTGTTCGCAATTTTCCATCCCCTGTTAAAACTCTTCCCATACTTCTCATTACTTAAACGTCGGTACTTGCTTGATGTTGACATCACCAATTTGTAACTCGCATAGTATCCATTAATAAAACTGTATTGCGCGTGAATTCTCGCATCTTTCCCACACAATATATCGGTATTTACAATTAAGGTTCGGATGTGTTCTTGAATGGTGCGTAGATAAGCTATCAACTTGCAAACGTTAAGTCTGACATTTTGTCAGAGAAATTTGCCATCCTATTTCACGTACCCAGCTGATGGCCCGTATCATATTTAGGTTCAACCTCGTAATTAATGCCGAGTTTCTGTTCTGACGAAAAACACGGATAATGTTATTGCTGTAAAGACTAATAGGAAAACGAAACGAAATTCGTTACAGCTGATTTTATTGTTTATTTACCGCCGGACTTCTTTAACATAAGGGTGTGCGGATTTAAGGGATTTCTCCAAACGTAGATTCTTCTTCTAGCGAGAAAATGAGAGACTCTCTTTCATTTCGCTCTCCGTCTTTTTCATAATATATCTTCCTTTTATCAGGCATGTACCTCTGATGGTAGCTCCTTGTCGTGATGGAGAGGCTTGCGTGATCCGATAACTCTGAGGGCGATGCCGTCGAGAGTTCTAAACTAGGGCTACCCTTGGCAGCAAAGTCGAAGATGAGGGCTCAAACTAAACGTGACTAATCTCAAAGATCCCAACCATGAATGAGGATTACAATAGATCTCAATGGTTTAACTAGCGGATTAAGAGGGCTACGCATGACGGACATGCTACAGAAGGCGCCGCTCGAAAATATAACAAAGCGGCAGTCTGTTGCAGTTTCATAACTGGATTCTGCATGTCTCATTCCAGACGTGCCGCAGAGGAAGGTAATGAGATCAATTGTGTGGGTCCCTTCCTGGCAAGTTGAGTTCAACCTTAAATAAATTCACTACATTGGCACTTTCTTTTTCTTTGATTTTGTTTCACCTCCAACCATATCTTGCAAAGCCAAACGGCGATAGGGAAAGAATGGAGGGAGCAGGTTTTGATGAAACTGAAAGCTTCTAGTCCTGAACCTGCAGGTTGTCAGCGAATTTGTCATCAACGTCATCATCATAAAGGAAGCGATAAGCAAAAAGAAATTAAATTCTTGGATATGAGATAAAGTCGGCAACGAATACACATGCACGCCCTAAGCGAACTATGTCCAACCATGTGTTTACATGTCGGGTAGAGCCACTGACATGCTGTGAGGCGATGATGTCACGTTCCAGGTCAGCCTTTGAATAAACGCCGCGATAGAAATTACGTAATGAGTACAGTGGCACAGAGTTTTAAAAAAATAGTGAAAGGAAGTTTTATTCTATAATCGTGCCACAGGCCAATAACAAAGATTGCCCAGTCTACGCGACCACGGACACTAGCCAAAAAGGCCAATAAGTGATGTCGGTCTTTACCTATCCCCTTTGGTAAGATGTGACACGTGATCCGTTTAATGTGGAGTGCCTACATGCATCAGTCAGTTATGTGTCATGCGTGATACACGCTAAGGCGATTATGTATCTTTTGATACATGACTGACGAGGCAGATTTTTTTTCCCACAGTAGGTTGCCATTTCTTTCTGCGGTAGACCAGTTGCCATCCAAGACTATAGAACCCGGTCTGTCCTGGTATTTACCCATAGCTGGTGGGGTGGGGATTGGGGAAGAAGAGGATTCATACCTTTCCTAAAGGTATAAGCACGTAAGTGAATGTAATGGATTCGACTGGAATTCGAACTCGGCTCTCCGATTATTAAACTATAATTAATACAGAATTTTTATTTTTAAAATTAATATCAGATTTTGCGGTGGACATGATGAATTACTTTGATCTCTTTGTTCAATTCTATACTTATTGGCATTTCTTTAACTATACTGTTTAAACCCCCACCTCTCTCTCTCTCTCTCTCTTTCTTTTAGTCTCCATCTTTCCACCTCACTCATTTCTTTACTTCCCTCTTTCCATCACGCTTTCATTATCACTTACCCTTTTTCTATCTCCCTCCTTTCATCTTTCTCGTATTCTCTCCCTCACGCTTTCTATCACTCTCTCTCTCTCTCTCTCTCTCTCTCTCTCTCTCCTCCCCTCTTTCCATCTCTTTCCTGGCTCTATTTCTTTAGTTTCCTCTTTCCAGCTCTCTTCTTCTCTCTTTCTATCACTCTCTCATTATCACGTTCTCTTTTACAGTTTTTCTGCTTCCATCATTCTCTCTTTCTATTACTTTCACATTCTCTCCTCTCCTCTTTCCATCACTCTCCTTCCCTCTTTCCATCTTGCTCTCCTTCTTACGTCTCTCTTTTCAGCTCTCCTCTTCTTCCCTCTTCCCATCACTCTCTCGCTATCACCTTTCATCTCTCTGCGTCCATCTTTCACTCCTTCCCCCTTTCAATCACTTTCCCTCTTTCCATCTTTCTCTCTCTATTTTAAAGAATGGTTCTCAGTCATTCCATTTAACTCTATCATTTCTCCGCTCTCAAATAAATTGACATTTTTTTCTCACCTTTCTCTCCTTCTCCGTTTTCTACTTTCTCACTCGCTTTCTTTACCAACTTTCTCCCCGTTTCCATCGAACTGATCATTTTCTGTCCACCCACCCACGTTATCTATTTGTTCTCTCTCTTTAGCCATCTTTTTTTTTATCAGCGAAGATCAGGGTCGAGCTTATTACATATTAGGAATCACGGAGGCCTTCTCCGGTGTCATAAACAGAAGAGATATTTGAGCAGGTTTCGTGTTGCAGGTAAACAGTAAAGTGTCATGAAACTAACCTTTAAAAAATAATCTTTTAGCGTATGGAACTTGTGTAAGAGTTCTTGAAAGAATGTATTGTTTTCAATAAAAGTGTTTGTTAGGGTGATAACGTGGGCGTGCGGGGCTGACAAGGCTATCATTTTACTGTCAATCGTATCATCCTTACGACATCGAGGAAAAGTTTATGTGATTTTTTAGAACAAATAATTTTACAGTCTGACATGAGCACCTGCCAGGTTTTATGAAATCTTGACATCCAGGCCCCAGAATAGGTACAAGCATGTCGATATATCCTATATATTATTTTTAAACGGCATATTTATTGCAAATGCATCTTTCTTTGGCAACAAATATGAGCCGACCAGATGTTAACTTTATCCGTGATACGATTTCATTTCCCTCTCAAATTCTGATGGTTTGATAAGAACAATGAAAAAATAACCACGATTGTATTTTAGGGATAACTGTATTTGTATCCTATATTTGATCTCTCTATTAGATCTACTTATTTAATCACTGTATTTGATCTCTAATTCTTGTATATGATCTCGATATTTGATCTCTGAATTTGATTTATAGATTTGAACTGTATTTGATTTCTAGATTTGATATCTATAGTTAATTACTGTTTTTGATCTCTGCATTTAATCTTTTTATTTCATATTGATATTTGATCTCTGTATTTGATTCTTGTATTTGATCTCTGTACTTAATCACTGTATTTGATCTTTACATTTAATCCTTGTATTTCAACTTGCTATTTGGTCTGTATGTGATTCCTGCATTTGATCACTATGTTTGACTTCTGTATTTGATTTTTCTATTTGATCTCTATATTTGATTTCTGTATTTAATCCTTGTATTTCAACTCGCTATTTGAACTCGGTATTTGAATACTGTATTTGATTTCTAGATTTGATCCTCAGCATCCTTCTGTAGAACCATATTTCTGTTGCTTTAAGTCTCTTCTTCATATGTAAGGTGATCGTCCAATAATTACCGACATAGAGGCGGACTGATACTACATAACAGCGCAGTACTCTTTTCTGTGCTTCTGACGATATTTTTCTGTTTCTTAATACTTTGCTTAACTTTTGGAAGGCATCTTTCTCTATCCGAATGCGCCTTAAGGCGTTTCCCTGTATTTTTTTAACCCCACGAATGGACTATTTAAAAATGCATTTACGTCACATAAATTTATGGGAATTCAAACAAGGAGGCATACGGATATATAGTGTTTATGGTTAAGGAGTCCTAACTGACCAGCACGTACGTATTTGGTTTGAAAAAATTCCTTCTGGAGAAACGTCGTTGGAAGATGAATCCAGACATGTGTGTACATCGGAGTTTTGATTCTTGGAACCTCTAAAGTCATTAGTGGAAAGCAATCGACGGCAAAGTACTTAGAAAATGGCATCACAATCTATCGTATGACAACACTTATAAAAGATATGGAAAATCAGCAAGATGGGTGTGTGGGTTCCACCTGCGAAAGGAACAAAGCCAGCCGTTTATCCATAATGACAAATCTCTTTTCACAAAAGAGAAATAACCTGTTCCATAATTTTTTTTTATAACAGGTGATGAAAAATAGGTTCCGTGTGACAAATGTTCATGGCAAACAACGACTGACAAGGATAAACCTCCACAACCGACCCGAGAAGCTGATCTCCATGGAAGAAAGCTAATGTTGTGCGTGTGGTGGAATTGTCGAGGTATTATTAGTGGAGGGGATGAAAGTGTATTTACGTCACATAATGTTTTGGGAATTGAAAGAAGAAAATAACGCTATGGAGACATACAGAAAAATATGTTCTGTTTATGGTTAAGAAGCCATAATTGACCGGCAAGTAGGAAATTGGTTTGCAAGTTTTGTTCTTGAGAAAAAATGATTGGAGATGAACCCAGACCGAGGAGTTCATCAAACTTTGATGGGGAAGCTCTAAAGAGATTAGAGGAAAAAAAGAAATCCAAAGAAAAGTATTCAGGAATTAGCAAATATGTTAAACACATCATAGTCTCCCATATATTGACAATTACAAAGGATACGGAAGGTCAGCAAGCTGGATTGTATTCGTTCCACAGGCTCTTAGCAAAAAGATCAACGAAGATCGTTGATAAACAAATACGGAATTATTTATGACAATATAATAGTCACCAAACCCAGCGTCGTTTGGAATTAATGAGGTATAACGTAAGTATCGAACCACTTCTTTAGAGCATGCACCATCAATATATCTACCATGGGTTCATATCTTTCAGTCTATTAATATCCTATTATAATTGTGCTTGTCCCTCCCTTCGCACGACCGTTATGCCCTGCCAATATCTTATAAATAGTGGACTGTTCCGTTTTCATCCCATGAAAAGACAAAATACTTATCAGAGACGCTACTAGGTTTCAGTGACAAAATAAAAAAAAAGAAAGAAAGAAAGAGGCATTTAACGTCACCTGCTAATACCTCATAAATAATGGACTATTCCGTTTTGGTCACGTGAGAAGTTAAATGACATCAAAGACGCTACTTGCTTTCGGTGAGAAAATGAAAGAAAAATGGTAAAATACAAGTGTTTAACGCCTGTTTAAGTGAAATGGTAAAAGTTTGCACTGTTCGGACTGTTATCTTCATCTTTATTGCCATATGTACGACGTTCCGGCCGTTGTACACACTAGCCTCCTTCAAGTGATATACATTGAAATTTAGAACCAAACACATTATTTAGTCCACAAAGGTGAATAGTGTAAATAGTCACAATACCCTATCTCAGAAATATAGACAGATGATGGCAAAATTTGTTAATTTCAAATCTTTTCATTTGTACCCCCTTACTTCTTAAAATAACAACCAGTATTCATATCGATGATTGTTATTGCAATATTTTGTTAAAGTTGTTAAGCTCAAATATTTAACGATGCGATAGGGGAATTTCTACGGAGATTTTGTTGTTGTAGAACTCACTCAACCATTAACTGAAGAATTAAAATTCATCAGAAATTTTAAATAGGAAAGTCGTGAAATTTTCACGTGTTAAAAGTAGTTACTATTATTCAATGAATATAGTAGATATTACGATCATATTTACTAAGCTAAACTTAGTTTGATATAGGTACAGCAATGGCCGGTCACTCAGTAAATACTGAATTCCCCAGCAATAAATGAGACGTAGTTCGCAACTATCATTTGAGTAGCGGTGTCCTTATATTTACAGGATCTGAAAGATGGCTACAATTCCATCCCACAGTTCCGGCCCGACAGAAGCAAAGTTGTAAATTTATCGCTATTACGATGCTAAATATTTAGACGAGCTCCATTCTTTAGTGTCACTAGACGAGACCATTACGCCCAAGAACCGTCTTGCCACGTCCACAGGATTGAATCACCGTCATTCCCTCTGTATTCATGTTGTGAGAAGGATGTTTCATTTAGAAAGATTTTTGCCACTACCGTGTGGATGCTTCCCGAACACTAAAATCTAGGCCCAGTCGCATTCTATCTACCATATCCACATAATCTTCACTTCCTAATTGCTTCTCTTACGTTCATATCGCACGTCTCAATCAGCAAGCTTGAGTGGCTCCTGGGCCTTGTACTGGTTGAGCTATATAGTAAAAAAAAGAAAAGACAGGTACTCAATCTGGATCAAACTCATTATCGAATGGTTTGTAAGAACAGATTTCTTATAATTTCGGTAGAATTATAAGATTTAGTCATGTTCCCAAAATTAATTTGAACATTTGTACCGCACTCTCATACACATATCTATCTAACTATCTATCTATGTGTGTGTGTGTGTATATATATATATATATATATATATATATATATATAGAGAGAGAGAGAGAGAGAGAGAGAGAGAGAGAGAGAGAGAAGTTGAAGCGTAAGTTTAACAATATCATCTTATTCATCTTGTTAGGAAAATCTCATTCGTCCATGCATCGGATATTGCTGCTACGTATGGTCCGGTGCTCCTGCTATATATTTAGAGATCCTTGACAAAATCCAAAGAATCGGCAATATTATTGATCCTGACCTGGCATCTCGGCTTCAGTCTCTTTCTCACTGCCGTAAAGTTGCTTCCCTGTGTGTTTTCTATAAATACTTATGAATTTAAGCGCACTATTTGGTTCTATGCAATTGTAAGTTCTATGTCGACAGTTTCCTCTAACTCGTTTATGGAACTTCTCTTTTGGCTCCATGCATTCCAGCCAACTTTGATCTTTAAAATTTTTAATTCAGTGACAATCGTTATCTACTGTATTCCATTGTTTTCGCTCCTTAATAATGTTTCTGATTTCTAATTCTTCCACACCCAGTAACCCTTTGTCTTTTAATGGCCTTACATTGGGTGTATTCAATTAAAAAAATGTCTCTGGTGTTAGCTCAGCTCTTTTTGATGCATGCATATTGTTCAAGAATTACTTTCAGGTACTTTTTGGCACGTTTCTAATGCAGGTGAAGCAAGGTAATTGATCAGTGAATCTTATAACATTAAGGCAGTAAGTGCAAGCATGTGTCAGAAATAAACTACTGTTTTTAAAATTTAACTTCTCTACGTTCAAGGAGAAAACTCACACTGGATTCATACAAATATAATTGCAGATACCTCCTGAAGAGTGGACGGAAAGATTACACAAAGGTTTCGTGTACGAAACACTGGAGTCGAAGTGCTGAATATAACATCAATCAGCTAAGTTACAAGATTTGTATTAATCCTATATATATATATAGCGAGAGAGAGGCAGAGAGAGACAGACAGACAGACAAGCAGAGATTTTAATACATTTTTATTACTTCAAATGTTATTACAGTCACGCCTAATCTTTTTAAATTAAAAAGTATGTATTACGTCCATCGGTCTATAACAGCCTGAAGATTTCTCGAAGGACACAGGCCGATAGATGTAATTGACACTCTTTAATAAGTAAAAATGAGGCGTCTATTTCAAATATGAAGTATTCACTCTAATTGAAGTAATAAAAATGTCCGACTAAAAATAAATCAAATAAATCTTTAGAAATTTAAATATATATATATATATATATATATATATATATATATATGTTTTGAACAATAAGAAAATAAAAAATTAAAATTTTTAGACACACTGGGTTGTAGATTAATATTCTATCGTTTTTTATTATTATTCCATTTAGATTCCTCGATTAGTTTCGACCGAAATGGCCATCATCGGGAGGAGAAATATTTCTGCTTGCTGGTAGCAGTGAACTACAGAAATGAATGTCTTGATGGAAAAAATGAACTTTTGTCTGTAGTTTTCGTTTGTTTGTTTATTTTTTTATCTTTTAACATCTTTTTAACATCTTTTAACATTCCTTGTGTTGGTCAAACAGTCTCTTTTAAGTTGTTATTTGAAATAAGAGCTGGATAGATACATATTATTCTGAATTCTCTGGTCAGTTTGACAGTTTTATTGGACCTGGTGAGGGGATGTGTCTCTGTTTAGTGTTTGTGTGTGTGTTATTTGGTTCTTAGGGAGTGAGTGAGTATGATATGTGTAAGCGTGTGTATTGCTGTAGATGTGTGTTATCATTTGGCTCATATATATATATATAATAAAAAGGCTTAAACACTAATATTATGGAATATTAGTGTTTAAGCCTTTTTATAATATCCTAACTCTATCCTGGACATTGAGTTCTAGCTGGATTCTGTCCTCTTGGAATTTTTATTAAAAAAATATACATGTATGGGGTATTTATATATTTTGCATATGTATGTATATTTACCACTATTATATATATATATATATATATATATATATATATATATATATGTGTGTGTGTGTGTGTGATATATATATATATATATATATATATATATATATATATATATATATGTGTGTGTGTGATATATATATATATATATATATATATATATATATATATATATATATATGTGTGTGTGTGTGTGTGTATTATATGCATATATTTATAAATATAAATGACAATAGGAAAAATGTAGTTATTGCTGACGCGTTTCGTCCAATGTGGCTTTCTCCCAAAGTCCACATTGGACGAAACGCATCAGCAATAACTACACTTTTCCTATTGTCATTTATATTTATAAATATTGTTTTTTCTACAGGTTAACTCTGAGAATTTTCATATATATATATATATATATATATATATATATATATATATATATATATATATATATATATATATATATATATATATATATATATATATATATATATATATATATATATATATATATATTATATGACTGTTGCAGCTGGGATCGTATTGCACATAAGAAATATCTGGCACATATGCCAATAGCAATAATATTTTAAGGTTACCATTCGACTGATATTTCCTCGTATTGTTCATAATGTTGATGTTGGTAAAACTGTGCATCCAGCAATGTATAAAATTAATGTATCTAATAAACAACGGGTGTATCAGATTTCTTTAGGCATATCTCACCTGTCTCTCTCTTCTTTTGCCATTTTCTTCCATTGTTCTCCCCTCTCCGTCAACTTAATATTTTCTTCCTCTCTCTCAACTGTTCGGAAGGGAACACGCCCAGCCACCGTCTGATCGGTGTTTTCTTACCGTATTTCAGCCTCAACATTCTAATCTCGACATCTTCTCGGATTTCTACATTAGTTCCACCTTCAAGAGAGCAAAAAGTAGTCGAAGAGGATACAATAAAAAAAATCATCTGCTTTTTCGTTTCATTCCTCGCGTTGTTTTTTGGGCTGAAAAGCTAACCCGAAGTTATTATATATCCCCGTTGGATTTTAAAGTTCAAATCTTTTAGGCAAACATTGATAGTGGGTCTTTAAATATATACATATTTCTTATTTTACTGTAAATACGTTATATTTACCGAATGCCCGTGTTTGAGTCGACATGCCATTTTTTTTTTAAACAGAAAAATTATTATCTAGTGATCAATGGTTTATGACTTTTCACTGTATTCGCCTTTTAACTCGATAAAAGACTTCGAGCATCTACCCAGTCCCTCTCCCTACCCCAGTCAAAAAAAAAAAACAAATAAAAAAGCATCCCAATTAACACCTACTCATTAATAACGCAACGAAAACTACCTTTCAAACGAAATTGAAACGAAAATGTCATCAACAATACAATCATAGATCAACCACTAACACATCAAGGAAACCAAAACCTTCAATGTCAGCTTTTGTTTATATATATATATATATTTGATAGTTGTATATTTAGGCAACAATCCTTCCTTTATGCATGTTTCATAAAAAACGACAGACAAAGTACTACGGTTAAGCTTTTTATTTAATTTTTCTTGTGTTCTGTCAAGAGCTTTCATTTCTGGACAAAGGGTGTGTAAGAACTGTCCGAATGTTTTGTATTTCCGAACGCTTTCGGCTATATCTTTAGCTATTATCAAGGATGATTCGATTTATCAGCTTAATTGAGTGTGTGCGTTCTATGTATGTGTTAGTGTGTGGTAGGGATGTTTTTAATTTCCGAATACGGTTAGTTCTGATCAAACCGGACTCATAAATAATTACATCGGTTACACAACCACATGCCTATGCAGACGTCTTACGTTACACCTATCTGATCACAGCTCCATTAGAACCCATTTAAACACACACACAAATTTACCCGACTCCATTAGGAACATACTAGTAGAAAACACAAACATATTAACTGCATCCACCTGAAAAAGAAGACTAAAAATAATGGAAGCTTTAATAATAAAAAAGAAAAAGCCAACTCTTAACAATATTAACTACGAACAAAGCCACAATGTGCTAACCGTGTTCGGAAATTAAATATATATATATGTGTGTGTGTTTGTGTGTGTGTGTGTGTGTGTGTGTGTGTGTGTGTGTGTGTGTGTGTGTGTGTGTGTGTGTGTGTGTGTGAATTAATGAAGTAAGAAAAAAGAAAGAAAGAAAAGTTGTTATTTAAAAATTATATATACATATACATGTTTCGGTGAATTTTTTTTTTTTTTTATTTAATAGTGTCGATTCACGTTTACCGGCCTGTGCATTCGGGAGTCTTCAAAGAGGAAACATGCCTTCCATCAGGGTTCGAACAAGTGTCCCGCTTTTACGGGAAAGCAGCATAAACCCCTTTTAGACCACTCAAGCACGGAAGAATAACAGATGACCAAACTCCAGTTATCCTACTGAACAGAAACCCAAGTCTAGTTAGATCCGGACCATATTAACTCTGTTTTAAAATCCAAAACGTAAACAATCAGGAGTTAATAAAAAAATATGAATAAAAAGTAAATTTAGGATTTAATAGATTTAATTTATAATCCGATATTATTTCAGATTATTTTTAACGTTATGTTTAGCGGAAAAACGATTGAGTTGATATTCCTGTTTTCAAACAGCGTAAATATATGTCTACCAGCCTCTGCATTCGAGAGCTTTAATAAATGGAAAGGGCCTTCCAGCACACACACACAGACACACACACATATGTGTGTGTGCATGCACCTATATACACACACTCATATATATGTGTATGTGTATAAAGAAAACAGGAAAACTTAGCCAACGCGTTTCGTCCTCTGATAGACTTTATCAAGGCAAATATTTGCCTTTACATATATATTCTAACTGGAATTTTTACACACACATAGACACATACATACATACATACATATATATATATATATATATATATATATATATATATATATATATATATATATATATAAACAACACAAAAAATTTGACGACTATAATGACATATAAAGTATCTATCTAGGATTAATACAATATTAACCGATTGATGTTTATATATCTATCTCTCTTTCTGTTCATATATATATATATATATATATATATATATATATATATATATATATATATATATGCATACACACACACACATAACGTAACAACAGCTCTAACAAATATTATACTATATATCTATCTATGTATTTTGGATTAGCACAAATATTATGTCATTTTCTGATTGTTGTTACATCTATCTATCTATCTATCTATCTATCTATCTATCTATCTATCTATCTCATTCTGTTCATATATGACACCCCTCGGCGCATGAAGACGCGACACTCAAAAAACTACACGAAGACACAATGCATCCCCCCCTCCCGAACACAGTCCTATAAACACACACAGTCACTTTGGTAATGGTGTAATAAAACCGATTTCGATGAGAGCCTAACTACCTGATTACCCACACATGTTTAGATTATAGTGGAGAAGACGTGTGTAGAACGAGTCACACTTTTCGGAAGAACTGATAACAGAGAAATGGTGCACAGCGTGCTATGAAGTTTCCAAAGATAGACAGATATGAACAGAATAAGAAAGAAAGAAAGGAAGGAAGGAAGGAAGGAAGGAAGGAAGGAAGGAAGAAGGGAAAATGAACGAAATGAGATAGATAGATAGATAGATAGATAGATAGATAGATAGATAGATATGAACAGAATAAGAAAGAAAGAAAGAAAGAAAGAAAGAAGGGAAAATGAACAAAATGAGATAGACAGATAGATAGATAGATATGAACAGAATAAGAAAGAAAGAAAAAGAAAGAAAAAGAAAGAAAAGAAGGAAAATGAACAAAATGAGATAGATAGATAGATAGATAGATAGATAGATAGATAATGAATATGAACAGAATAAGAAAAGAAAGAAAGAAAAAAGAAAGAAAAAGAAGGAAAATGAACAAAAAGATAGACAGATAGATAGATAGATATGAACAGAATAAGAAAGAAAGAAAGAAAAAAAAAAAGAAAGAAAAAAAAAAAAAGAAAGAAAGAAGGAAAATGAACAAAATGAGATAGACAGATAGATAGATAGATAGATAGATAGATATGAACAGAATAAGAAAGAAAGAAAGAAAGAAAGAAAGAAAAAAGAAAGAAAGAAGGGAAAATGAACAAAATGAGATAGATAGATAGATAGATATGAACAGAATAAGAAAGAAAGAAAGAAAGAAAGAAAGAAAGAAAGAAAGAAAGAAAGAAAGAAAAAAAAAAGAAAAAAGAAGGAAAATGAACAAAATGAGATAGACAGATAGATAGATAGATAGATATGAACAGAATAAGAAAGAAAGAAAGAAAGAAAGAAAGAAAGAAAGAAAGAAAGAAAGAAAAAAGAAAGAAAGAAAGAAGGGAAAATGAACAAAATGAGATAGATAGATAGATAGATATGAACAGAATAAGAAAGAAACAACGAAAGAAAGAAAGAAAGAAAGAAAGAAAGAAAGAAAGAAAGAAAATTAACCAGATGAGATAGGCAGAAAGAGAGAGAGTTACAGTTGAGCGATACATGAAAATGTACTCCCTTTAGTTCTCTTACTAACAAACAAAGTTTTTATTTTTAGCGACATAGATACGGGGTTCTTTGCGGAATATGTACAGAACTATTTGCACCCTTCCTACCTTTTTAGCTCAGGTGTTTAGCCCTTCTCTTATTTATAAGCCAGGACCAAGTAACCTACTTCTTTATATATAAATATATGTAATGCTCTTGCTGAACGATGACAATTTCACATGGCAATTTTATTTAAATTTTATTTTGTTTTTATTACTTAAACCTTATTTTTAATGGATATTCATATCTGAGTAGACGCACGGTAAACAGCATACTTATTCATTTTCGTCTAGCGGCCTGAATATTCGAGAAATCTTATTAAAGAAAAATATTCGAACCTTCGTCCCGAATTGGCTAGAGAAATTTTCGTTAGATCCGATCCAAAGCGATCCGACTCGTTTGAATGTCTCGGTCATGGAATGCGGCGATAATCAGGGAAAGTTAAATCGTGCCTTATAAAGGCAAATCTTTCCCAGACTCTCAAAGCATTCATATCTGCTCAGTTTCGTATCCTAAAGTAAACAATGCAATTTCTAAAGGAATGATTGATTTTTTATTTATTAATCTGACAGATTTTGTTACTTTATTTTTAGTGGATATCCATATTTAAGTAGACGCTCTGTTTATTGATGAAACAGTATATTTATTTATTTTCGTCTACTGACTTCAAATATTCAAGAAATCTTATTCGAATTAAAATGAATAAAAATCCATCACTTCTTTAGAAATTGTTTTATGTTATTTTTTATATTGATAGATTTTTTTCAAAAAGAAACAAACTACATTTTTCTCTTTTTCTTCTTCATCTTTCATTTTTCTTCATCATCACATCTTCTTCTTCTTCTTCTTCTTCTTCTTCTTCTTATTATTATTATTATTATTATTATTATTATTATTATTCCTTTTATTTCTGGCGTTTACACATTTCTTTCCGGGTCCCGACCAGAGACCTAAGGTCAGAAGTGACAGCATGGCATTTTCCACTGACCAATTAAAAAAAAACACAAAGACACACACATATTTTACATAGATAAAACCCTCCGTAAGTCATGGGCTGTACTCATGAGAACAATTTTCTGTATTTCTTTAAGGCATGGTTTTCCAGGATTCCCTTTAATGAGTTTATTATTATTATTATTATTATTATTATTATTATTATTATTATTATTTCTCTTGATTTCTGTTGTATACACATTTTCCACTGATCATTTTTGTAAAAAAAAAAAAAAAACGAAAAGAAACTAAGAAATTCATACATTTTGCATGAATAAAGCTCTTCGTAATGTGTGAACTGTATTATTATTATTTATCTTATTATTTTTATTATGATTTTTATTATTATATTCTTATTATTATTACTATTATTATTATTATATATTTTATTATTAATATTTATTTTATTATTATTATTATTATTATTATTATTATTATTATTATTATTTCTGCTATGGACACACTACCTACCAAGTCTGCGGAAAGACCTAAGGCAGGTCGTGGTGTGTTGTTATGGCCACATTTCATGTTAATTTAATTTTTTTTTTTTTTTTTTTTTTTTATCTCCGATGAAGTTGCTAGCGTTACATAGACAAAGTTCTCCTTAGTGTGTGTGCTGTACTTAATAAGACAATTTTCTGTATGTCTCTTAAGCTGGGGTTTCAGGGATTCTTTCAATGTGTTGTTTTGTTCCATTTTTTATAATTCCAAGTGCACCTATTACCACTGGTATTATTCTTGTTTTCAATTTCCACATTTTTTTCTATTTCAATTTCCAGGTCTTTTGTATTTTGATAGTTTTTCAAATTCCTTTGGTTGCTATGTTACAATCCGCTGGACAAGCCATATCAATTAGTAGGCAAGTTTTTTCTTTCTGGTTTTTGACAATAATGTCCGGCCTATTTGCTTCAATTTTTCTGTCTGTGGATGGTATAATCCCATAGAATGGTGACATCTTCTATTTCTGTAACCGGCGCTGGCCGATGTTCATACCAGTGTTTGCTTACACATTTTCCAAAGTGTTTGCACATTGTCCAGTGTAAGTATTGCCCCACTCTATCGTGACGATTTTTATATTCATTTTGGGGCAAGTATAGAACATCCTGAGATTAGATGGTCTATTGTTTCTTGGTATTTGTCACAGAACCTGCATTTTGGATCCCATTATTATGTATGATATTTGCCTGAAAATTCCTAGTGAAAAAGACTCTGGTCTTGCGCTGCAAGAATAAAGCCTTCAGTTTCAGACTTTAATCCAGATGCTCGTAACCATCGATGAGTATTAACTTTATCAACATTGGGTTTATTTGCACGTTCTGGATATTGGCCATGCAGAGGTTTGTCTTGCCAGCGTTGTTTCATCTGTTCAAGGGCTTTATCCTTGGCTTTCTTTTTCATATCTTTTGCTGCAATAGTTGGTTCTTGGCTTCTGTTTTGATTTACTACAGAATCTACTAAATGTAAATGTTGTTTGTATTTACTGCCTTCTTTTATTATTGAATATTTTTTCTTTCTGTTTTTCATGTTGTTTCACTAATTTTATCATCCAGTCATTTGTTGTTTCCATGTAAGTTAGTAAGCCAATAGTTGTTGTCTTGTATGACAATTCTAGCTGAATAAGACCTCTTCCACCTTCTTTACGGGTATGTATAGACGATCTACATCAGCCTTTGGATGATGCATCTTATACTAGAAAGAAGCTTTCTTGTTTTAGAATCCATTTGTCTGATGTCATTTAGAGTCCAGTTCAAGATGTTGAAACTATATTGGACCACTGGGATGGCAAGGTTATTAATGGCCATAATTCTGTTCTGAGAATTCAATTCAGTTTTTAATACCAGTCGTACCCTTCTATAGTACTCTTTACGCACTATTTCTTTCATTTTCTTATGGAAAATCTCATTTACACCTAGGTACTTATAAGCTTCTCCTTGTTCTAAATCTTTTATTGTTACAGCAGGGTCTAAACTAATAGAGGAAGTTTTGTTTAGCGATCCTCGTAAAACTGTAGCTTTAGCACATTTATCCAAATTGAATTTCATTCAATGTCTTCACTGAAGCATTTTACAGTTTGCAGAAGACCTTCCAGCTCATTGTCATTCCTAGCATACAATTTTAAGTCATCCATGTAAAATAGATGGTTTATTTTCTTTTGAGCTATTTTGTAACCGCATTCTGTCTTGTTAAGTTGGCTGGTTAATGCTATAAGTGATATGCAAAATAATAAAGGAGACAAAGAGTCACCTTGAAATATTCCTCTATTGATGTTTATTTCGCCAGACTTATAGGTTCCATTTTTATGATTGAGGTAAAGTGTAGTTTTCCATATCGACATACATTGTTTGATGAAATTGATGATAACGGGTGATACCTTGTACATACTTAAAGACTTTAAGATCCAGGAATGTGGTACACTATCGAATGCTTTACGATAATCTATCCAGGCAATACTAAGATTTTTTTTTTTCCACGGAAGCAGTTTTCCAGGATCATCCTATTAATAAGTAATTGGTCTTTACATCCGTAGCAGCCTCGTTTGCACCCTTTTTGTTCAAGTGGTAGTATGTCATTTCTTTCCAAGAAGAAATATGTCTGTTTTGTTAAAATAGATGTTAACAGTTTGTATGTTGTTGGAAGACATGTAATTGGTCTATATAGTTTTCGGAATATTTGTGTCACTATTTTTGGGTAGAAGAAAGGTAACTCCTTTGGTCATCCATGCAGGAATTTTAGTTGGATCGGTAACCATTTCTTGAAGTTCTTTGGCGTTTTTTTTTTTGTGCTGTATTTAAATAATATAGCCAGAAGTTAGGAATTTT